GGCAGGTTGCTTGTTGACTAGGAAAGAATTGCCCGAGGGACATGGGGTCTTCCAATGCTTGTAGAGCTAAACCGGCAAGGGAGGGGAGATACCCACAAGAAATGCCTAGAAAGCTGGTAAGTATATCCACTATTCTGGAGCTCAAGCCATGCCCTGAAAAGCCACATGGAAGAAGCTAAAGCAGATAAGAAGACACCTGCCTATGGACTCCCAAGGGGAACCACAAGCCTCTGAACCTCTGTTCACCATTATTATCACTGCTTGAAGAAACCTGCAAGAACAATTTGGGTCCTGCAAAAGAGTCCACATTTAAAGAAAAAAAAAAAAAAAAAGATCAATCTGGTTTTTATTTCCTTACTTCCTAATCCCTTAAATAGCTTATTTTATTTTAACATATAATTTAGCTAATTTTATTGTTCTCTTAACTTTTTAGCAAGCTCATTTTAAGCTTATTTCACTCATTCCTAATCCCTATATTGTCTATCTTCTTACTACTTTACCTTCATTTCTCTTATTCCAGCATCCATGTATATTTTAATGATTTCATTTACTCATCTGAAAATATGTATTGATCATCTTTTATGTCTCAGGCATTGTTTCTGGTGCTAAGTGCACAGTGGTACGATCTGAGTGAATTACATGAGATGTTTAGCAGGCATTTTTGAAAATTAGATTTTTTAAAATTTGGTTATCATCCAACACATGAATATACAGACTGACCATCAGAAGAAAGATTCTTTTGGTTACATTTGCAGGCCACATGAAAACTGCCCAAAGATTTTGTATGGAAGTGAAAAGAGCAACCACTTATACAGGGCTTACTCTGCACCAGTTCTAAGTACTTTACAAGTAATAGCCAACCTAATTCTCCCAGCAACCCTCTGAGCTGGGTCATTATAATCTTCTCCATTTTACAGATGAGAACACTGAGGCACAGCAATCTTAAGTGACTTCTTCAGAGTGAGTCAGTGGTGAGCTGGCCTTGAACCAAGGCCATCTGGTTCCAGATAGCCTTTCTCTAACCCCAGTGGGGCTGAGGCCTCCTCAAGGTTTGGTTCTGACAACAGAATTTAGAGTAGCAGGAGGCAAGTAGAGGCGTGTTTTTGGAAAAAGAATTGTGTCCCAAAGAGAGCTGGCAATAAATATTGCTGATTGGTTGTCTGATAAAGATGGAATGGGGTTTGGAGAATTTCATACTTTCATGAAATAAACATGTGATTGTGACCTTCCAAAAGTGACAGGAACTATTCAAACTATGCCATTTTAACCTTTTCTCCCTGTTCAGTCTTCACTTTTGACCATGCTGTCCTGGCAGAATCTTGTTCTGCTTTGGCTTTCCAAGCGTTGAATAAATGCTCAGACACATACAACCTGGGAAACAGGCATACAGCTACCCTTGGTAGTATCAAAAAAACAGTTCTGTTGCTCATAAAAGCAACAGTATCTTATACAAACCCCCCCACACACACCTTTTTTGTGGATGTCTGGACTGAGGTCCAGAAAAGCTAAATAAGATTTGCCAAAATCCACAGTACCAGATCATTTGACATCTTCTATAGGAGCTTAATCAAATGATTTCTCAAGATGGGTAAACTCCTGTGTCTTGGATCCCATGCCCATTATGCATGTTCGAAAGAGTGGTCCCCAGACCACAGTATTGGCATCACCTGGGAGACTGTTAGAAATGTAGACTCTTAGACCCCACCTCAGATGTGCTGAATCAGAGTCTACATTTTATCAAGACCCTCAGGTAATTCACATGAATATTAAAGTTGAAATGATCGCTAATTCCATTTTCTAGATATTTTAGTTGTGGAGATGGAAGTTGTTGATTCTGTATTGGTTGTAAATACATTAATCTCTTGAAATATATATTCTCAGCCTCACCTTGTCATTTAACTTAAAATTATCTTCCTGATGCAAAACAATCTTCAGTTTCTTTTTATGGTAGGTCTAGACCTTTGAAGACCCAGTCATTCCTTGCTGATCAGATATTAAGGCTTCAGATGTGCACAACGATGTTTCTTATGAGACCCACAAAGAAATGGCCAGTTGCTCCCCATCTTTAAAATGACTCTTACTGGTGTCCTTTCTTGAGTGCAGGTTAATCACCTTTCCCAAATCACAGCAAATCCCTTTAGCTTAGATGGCAGACATAAATCTCAGCCCAGCTCCTGTTCAAGTTACCATAATTAATCAAAATAATAACTGCCACTTACGTAGTGCTTACAATGTGTCTGGCACTATTCTGAGAGTTTAATGTATAAAAAGTCACTTAATCTTTGCAAAATACCCTATTTAATAGATGAGACACTGAGGTCCAGAGAAGTTAACTGGCTTGCCCAAAGCCACACAGCTAGTTCATGGTAAGGATTCTAACCTAGGCATTCTATCTCCAGAGTCCATGCTGGTAACCACTGCACCACGCTGCCTCCTGAAATCTAAATTAATGCTGCCCATAGTTCCAAGAGGCGTTATTATTAAAATTCACTCATAAGAAGGACTGATCATTTACTTAGGAGAATATAATTCACTTCAGAGATTTTACTCAACAAAAAGAAATAACAGAAGCTGGCAGACACTAAGACATTATTTTACAAAGTTAAAACATTACCTCTGGTCTCTTATCCTTGGCTGTGATTACAAGACCACACGGTCTGCTGCTTGAAAGTGCTTTACTGGCTCCAACCTTAAATTGCCTTACAATTTCTGTAAATGAGAAGTAGTTGTAAACTCTAAGGATTCGTGATATCACTGGCTTTGCTAATCTACTAAATCACTGGTCTGAGTTCTCTTTTGAACTGCCAACAGTTTGACTCTTTTTCTAAATCAAATCTTATGGACAATTACAATATATGAAATTGGGCAAAGTCTTGTGCTTTGGTTGAAACAGAGGGGGGCTTCTTGCCCTCTACTATCCATCTCAGTATCCCCTAAAGGCATGTCCCTAAAACCTTAGAGTCCTGGAAACAGGGAATGAAAATACCATGTGAGATGCAGTGAGCAGCTTCATATCTGTATTAATTCAGCTCCCTTTAGACCGCTCTGCCTGACACTATACCCAACAATATCTTTTGCTGCTACACCAGGAAGTCCTCACAGGATCTTAACCCTCTTCTGCAGAGCTCAAGGGAAGGAAACTCTTCACAAACAGCTGAAAAGGGCACTCACTGACCAATGCTCGGCAAAACAGAAACGAGTCACAGAAACACAACAAAGGGTTTTTTCCAATGGCAAAGTATGGTATTCAATTACTTTTGTTTGCATTAGAAACACAAAACAGAACAATCCATATACCTAGGCAGGGTAGAGGTAAAAAAAACAAAAACAAAAACAGTAAAACTTTGGTTATAGTTCAGGAAATACAAAAACTGGTAAGTCCCAACCAATAACCATGACCAATCGTTTTTTTGTTTTTTTGAGATGGAGTCTCGTTCCATCGCCCAGGCTGGAGTGCAGTGGCATGATCTGGGCTCACTGCAAGCTCCGCCTCCCGGGTTTACGCCATTCTCCTGCCTCAGCCTTCCGAGTAGCTGGGACTACAGGTGCCCGCCACCAAGCCGGCTAATTTTTTGTATTTTTAGTAGAGACGGGGTTTCACTGTGTTAGCCAGGATGGTCTCGATCTCCTGACCTCGTGATCCGCCCGTCTTGGCCTCCCAAAGAGCTGGGATTACAGGCGTGAGCCACTGCGCCCGGCCAACTATGACCAATCTGTTAACCATCCCATGCATCCCATTGAGTGGTTGGTTAGTAGTCACTGCCAAGCCATTAACCCTGATGGTGCACATCAAAAAAATAAAATTTACAGAAGTTAGTTTTAAATAGTTTTAAGTGCTGGTTGTGCACTGGGAGAATGGCAGAGGAACTCCCATTATCTTGATTCACTCAGTGCCAGGTTCCATGTGTAGTATCCGATGTCAGGACTTCTCCCAGATCCCTTCAGATCCCTTCAGATCCCTTTTAACCCTTTCTGTGCCTCCACCTCAAAGTTAATGGCTATAACTAATGACCATTGGGTAAGGGAGCATGAAAGCCCAGCTCCATTGCCAGGGATGGGCTCGGACATCTCTGAGGCACGTTGATCCTCCAAAGTGCCTTGCAGGATCAAGGTAAAGCCACCCTCTTCAGGACTTTGCCTGAGATGGCAGCCTTGCTTCACTTCCTCCCCCAATTTGTCCTGATTCCTTTTACTGTTCTCCTAGGAACACTTACTCAAAAGTCACTTGCATGGGAATCTTCATCTCAGGGTCTGCTTCTGGGAAACCCCACCTCAGAGAGTACACTACCCAGCTTGCCACTACCTCAAATTGGTGGGTGTGAGGAATCTTATCCTCCCCAGAAGCAGTTCTGGTGTGCAATTAACATGGCGTTTGCCCCACCCCTTTCCTCCCACAAATATATCCATAATCTTTAGCCTAAATTGATTTATTCGATCAAAAAGGTGAGACTATAAACCCAAAGAGTATAAAGTTCCAGTTGAAAAGAATGTACAGGGCATGTCATGTATGGGTTAGACAAACTGTCAAGTTAAAATTTAAAAATAAACTTTCTGCAATGTAGTAGTGTGCTTTCCTTACATTACTAAGTTAAGCATCAGTAATTGACATAAATCTTTGTGAAGGGGAGTTTGGTCTTGCTTTTTGGTTGTTTCTTAAAGGTAGCAACCTTGCTGTACTGAGGAGCTACAATTTAAAGCATAAAGCTGCACTACAAGTGAAAGGAATTAGGCTAAATCAGCACACACATTAAGACATACTTTGAAAATTGCTCTTGACCAAACTATATATGAGCTTGCTTTCTTGTAATTTTCCTAACTCTATGGGTTTGTATGCAGCAAAAATTTCTGAGTTTTCTTAGGTTGCACTTACTCTGACACCTATGATTCAAGTCCATCCCATGGGACATGAATTTTGGTAAACTTAGTGAGAGCTGACAACCCAGAAGGGGCCAGCCTTATGTCACTGCATGCCTCAGGTTAGATAGACACAACTGGCTTACCTTTATTCCCAGAGCTTCTCCAGAAATGACAGCAACTGTCACACCATCCCTACTGGGTTTAGGGATTTCTTCACTTTTCAGTTCCTGGTACTGAGGCTCCACCATCTTCTCTGAGCTCCTCAAATTAACCCATAGTTGTAGGCCATGGGCTGGCTCCTCTGAGCAAGGCATCTCGGCGTGCAGAATGCCCCGGCCCGCAGTCATCCACTGCAAACACCAAACCAACAAGAAGGAAATGTAACCAAGCTCCTAATAAGTCTACAGGTGGAACAATTAAAACACCATCACGCAGTGAGGCGTCTTACAGGTGCTGCTATCAGAGCCCCTGGGCATTGAGAGGAATAATAAACATCAGTGACAATTGCTGGGGCCCTTTCCAGTTTTGCAAATGCTTCCTGTGCTTCCTCACTTGAAATCAACACATCGGAACTGAAATTCCCACAAATGGAAGAATCCTGTCTTTGACATCCCTGAGTCTTAGATTAAGCTCTAAGACGGGGAGTTGCAGGAAGATAGTATACTGGGCTGTGTTCTCAGGAGATACAACTTAAGAAGTGAAAAAAGCAGGATTTGGCAGGGGGAGAAGCCGACCAGCAATGCAGTTACTACAGAGGCTTTAGCCAATTCAACAGGGAGCTCTGGAGTTGAGATGAACCTTCAGAATTGTCCCAGCTGGAGACAATGTGACCCCAAGTTTTTACATCCCCACATCAGCAAACCATTGACTGTGGGCCATCCCCAAGTAGAAAGCAGGGCAGTTCCTAGGGAGGGAAGCAGCTGTGAGCCATCAGCAGCCAGTGTTCCCAGACATTGGAGGATAAGTATGTGGGCCTAAAAATACATTTGGAGGTCCCCAGTATCCACTATACTGTGGGTGGTTAACTTGTGTCTGTACTTGCTCACTTCCAGTAACGGAACCCTCGCTACTTGGAGAAACAATTATTGCCTCCACTGTTGTGCAGATTCTTCCAGTGTTTGTTCATATCTTTATTAACAGCAGATTAGGGACCAGCCCCAAAGCCTAAATCTTGGAATCTGGAGATGAAGGTATGAACATCATAGATGCATTTCCTATCTTAGTTTGAGTTCTCCCACAGAAGTTCCTGAGACAAAGACACGTGCAGGTTGTTTATTTGGAAAGTGATGCAGAAAGCACAAGTGAGAGAGTAGGGAAGAGTGAGGCAAGGGAGAAAGCCAAAAAGAGTTGTTAATGAGAAGGTTACATCTGTGGACATCTGGAATTCAATCCCACTGGGAACCATACATGTGCTTTCAAATTGTTGCATGGAGAAGAGGGGAAGCTAGGGTATTTAGACTCCAATTCCCATCCTTCACTGACCAAGAGTTCCCATGGGAGTGTTAAATCACTGACACATATGGTCTGCCCAATACGTGGGCTGGAGAAAGCCCTCAGACAGAGTAGCAGCACTTGAGATGGTGCTGTACACATATGGGGACCATCGCCACCTGAACTCACAGTTGGGCCAAGGGGCTATGAGGCAGGCCATCAACAGCATCTTCCACACAGCCGTCGTCGGGGGAATAATCCTTAAACAAACAATGTCATGCATCATTATTGCCATTATAATTGTGCTTGGCACTTCAAAGAATGGCAGGGTTCTGTGAGCACATGAAATGTCCTGCTCAGTTCAAGGCAGCTTATCTGAGGGTGCAATCTTCAGGCTGAGATCCAAACAAGGAGTAAGAATTAGCCAGGGGAAGGGGAACAGGAAGAGGATTCCACGGAGAGATAACAGCATGTGAAAAAGACTCTGAGACAAGAATGAGCATTATTAGTTGAAGGATCTGAAAGGAGGCCAATGCACACTTTAAAGATTTTTTTTCTTCTATGAAGTCTAGATTTCCCTCTACTCCCATTTGAAAAGGCTTGTTAAACCTTCTAATGTAGGAGTTGGCAAACCACAGCCTGGGGGCCCAATCTAACCTGCCACCTGTTTCTGTAAAGGTTTATTGGCACCTGGTCATACCCATTCATTAACATACGGTCTATGTCTGCTTTCACGCTGCAGTGACAGAGTCTGGTAGCGGCAGCAGAGACCATATGGCCCCCAAAGCTCATTTGCCCTTTATAGAAAAAATTTGTTGACCCTGCGCTAATGCAGTATAAAGTATACCCAAACACCTTCTTATGCTGCATTTCTTCTGTCTAATGATAGCTATTGGTGTCCCGCAAAGACATCTTCCCATTTTTAAGCATTTTCCTTTTCCCTTAAAAGTTCATTTCTTTATATTTTCAATGCCGTGGTTATCCTTTTTAGATATGAGCTAGTTTGGTAATACTTTACTTAAAATGGCCTATATATGGGATCTGGAAGGGGAGAATGGGGTTTTCTTTCCACCCTCATCATTTACTAGCTCTGAGGTCATGGGTATCTGTTTTTAAAAACATCTTTAAATCCCCATTTCCTCATTTTTAAAAATGAGATGAGGATAATATTATACTTCTTTTTGCTGGGCACAGTGGCTCATGCCTGTAACCTAAGCACTTTGGGAGGCCAAGGCGGGTGGATTGCTTGAGCCTAGGAGTTTGAGACCAGCCTGGACAACATAATGAGACCCCATCTCTACAAAAAAAATAAAATTAGCCAGGTGTGGTGTTTTGCACCTGTGGTCCCACCAACTAGGGAGGCTAAGGTGGAAGGATCGCTTGAGCTGGGGAGGTCGAGGCTGCAGTGAACCGTGAATGCACCACTGCACTACGGCCTGAGCAACAGAGTGAGGCCGTCTCAAAATGATAATAATAATAATACTTATCACAAAGACATCATGCATATGAAAACTCTGAATAAACTGAAAGACACTATGCAATCATCATCCTAATCAATGTGAAGTTATAGTGGTAGAAAAAGTGTTGACCAGTGTCTCACATGTATGGCTGCTAGGCAGCTCCATGGTGCAGATGGCGGAAGTCACCACTTCCATGAACAGGACATTTCCAGTCATCGTATCTAGCTTTGTAAGCGGTCTTCATTTCGTTTTCTGCTCCAGTGAGAGGTCACTATTGACTTTTTGCCATGACTTTGGTTTTGTTTTGTCTTTAAATTTCACTTTCATTGAAATCTTATGATTCAAATATGTGAATTTATCATCCCTCAAAACATATATATATAAAATCCCAGAAAGTACCTGGTATAGAGTTCTGACTTACAAAACTGGCAAACATGACCCAAGTATTTCGGGGCATTTTAACTGTAACGTATCTCAGACAAGACTAGGATGATGGAGGGCTCAAGGTCATTGTCTTAAATGATAACACCTAACCCTGCAAATGAGTTGGAATATAAATAATACATTATCTCAAATGCAGCAGAGTGGTCTAGAAAGATGAGGACTGAAACAATCACTGAATTTGGCAATTGGGACATCACAAGTGACCATTATCTGAATAGCTTCAGTAAAGATTTGGAAGGGGCTACTGAGAGGCCAAATCTGATTTCAGTAAGTGCAAAATGAATGAAAGATAAGGAAGTTGGGATATCATTCCTGATTACTTTTATTATTATTATTATTATACTTTCAGTTCTAGGGTACATGTGCACAACGTGCAGGTTTGTTACATATGTATACATGTGCCATGTTGGTGTGCTGCACCCATTAACTCGTCATTTACATTAGGTATATCTCCTAATGCCATCCCTCCCCCTTCCCCCTCCCCACAAAAGACCCCGGTGTGTGATGTTCCCCTTCCTGTGTCCAAGTGATCTCATTGTTCAATTCCCACCTATGAGTGAGAACATGCGGTGTTTGGTTTTCTGTTCTTGCGATAGTTTGCTAAGAATGATGGTTTCCAGCTGCATCCATGTCCCTACAAAGGACACGAACTCATCCTTTTTTATGGCTGCATAGTATTCCATGGTGTATATGTGCCACATTTTCTTAATCCAGTCTGTCACTGATGGACATTTGGGTTGATTCCAAGTCTTTGCTGTTGGAATTCCAAGTCTTTGCTGTTGGTGCTGCAATAAACATACGTGTGCATGTGTCTTTATAGCAGCATGATTTATAATCCTTTGGGTATATCCCCAGTAATGGGATGTACCCAATGGTAATGGGTAATGGGATGGCTGGGTCCAATGGTATTTCTAGTTCTAGATCCTTGAGGAATCGCCACACTGTTTTCCACAATGGTTGAACTAGTTTACAGCCCCACCAACAGTGTAAAAGTGTTCCTATTTCTCCACATCCTCTCCAGCACCTGTTGTTTCCTGACTTTTTAATGATTGCCATTCTAACTGGTGTGAGATGGTATCTCATTGTGGTTTGATTTGCATTTCTCTGATGGCAAGTGATGATGAGCATTTTTTCATGTGTCTGTTGGCTGTATGAATGTCTTTTTTTGAGAAATGTCTGTTCATATCCTTTGCCCACTTTTTGATGGGGTTGTTTGTTTTTTTTCCTTGTAAATTTGTTTGCATTCTTTGTAGGTTCTGGATATTAGCCCTTTGTCAGATGAGTAGATTGCAAAAATTTTCTCCCATTCTGTAGGTTGCCTGTTCACTCTGATGGTAGTTTCTTTTGCTGTGCAGAGGCTCTTTAGTTTAATTAGATCCCATTTGTCAATTTTGGCTTTTGTTGCCATTGCTTTTGGTGTTTTAGACATGAAGTCCTTGCCCATGCCTATGTCCTGAATGATATTGCCTAGGTTTTCTTCTAGGGTTTTTATGGTTTTAGGTCTAACATTTGAGAAATGTAAGAAAAAGACTAGGTGGGGACTAAAAAGTGATGGAGGGGTCAAGGAAAGTGTGAAAGAAGAATATAAGAGACCTGTGTGGTTTCCAGGCTGAGTAAAAGAATCTGTAGAAAGGGAGAAGTCAAGAATATAACAGAGAGAGTGTGGAAAGGGTGAATGTACTGGAAGTGGGCAGGATCAAGCATGTGCACTCAAAAACTACTAAACCACCAGCAATTCCTTGTCCTTGGCCATACCTGCAAATCTCCTGGGTTCATTTGACCAGTGTGTCCACAGAAGTCTTCATGGGCCATGCTGCCCCCTTCCAGGAGGTAGGATACCTTTGAAAAACAAACAGGAAAAAAAGTAGATCCTTTGCCTATTTTTAAATTGGGTTATTATTAAATTATTCCCACTGACTTGTATGAGTTCCTTGTATATTTTGGACCTTAATCCCTTATTGGATAATATGGTTTGCAAACATTTTCTCCCATTCTGTGAGCTGCCTTTTCATTTAAAAAAAAAAAATAGGCAAATGACTTGAATAGACACTTTTCCAAGGAAGACATACAAATGGCCAACAGGTATATGAAAAGGTAGTCAACATCATCAGAAAAAATGCAAATGAAAGCTACAATGAGACGTTATCTCACCTCTGTTAGGACAGCTGTTAACAAAAGGTCAAAAGAAAACAAGTGTTGGTGAGGGTGTGGAGAAAAGGGAATCCTTATACATTGCTGGTGGGATGGTAAATTAGTATAGACATTATAGAAAAGAATATGGAGGTTCTTCAAAAGATGAAAAATAGAATTCCTATGCAACACAGCAATCTCATCCTGGGTATATATCCAAACAAAATAAAATCACTATCTCAAAGAGTTGTTTTATACTCCCATGTTCATTGCAGCATTATTCGTAATAGCCAAGATATGGAAATAACTAGAGTATCTGTTGACCAATAACTAGATAATGTGATATATATACACAATGGAGTACTATTAAGCCTTAAAAAAGAAGGAAATGTTGCAATTTTCAGCAACACGGATGAACCTGGAGGATATTATGCTAAGCGAAATAAGCTAGACACAGAGGGACAAATACTGCATGATCTCACATAAACAGAGTAGAAGGATAGCTACCAGGGGTCAGGACGTAGGAACATGGGAAGATGTTGAGTAAAGGGTACAAACTTGCGGTGACAAGATGAATATGTTCTGAAGACCTAAATCACAGCATAGTGACTGGAATTAATAGTAAGTATTGTAAACTTAAAATTTCCTAAGAGAGTAATCCTCTGTGCTCTCACCATAAAAATAGGTAACTATGTGAGGTAATGGATACCTTAGCTTGATTGTGGTAATCATTCCACAATGTATACATACATCAAATCATCACATTGTACACCTTGAATATAAACAATTTTTATTTGTCAACCATACCTCAATAAAGCTCAAAAAAAAAGGAAAAAGAAAAAGTAGGTATTGGGTAGCTGTGAAGATGTGTTTGCTTTTTCCACAGAAAATTTGTTGAGAAAAGTGTCAGGAGCAACTAAGTGGAGTAAACTGAGAGAAAGAATCTCTGTGACCGGGCCACATTAGCCATAAAATGTCTTTGAGAGAATTCCACCTAGGTGCCCCTTCCTCCTGGCAGATGCATCCCTGAACCTGCCAGAGCTCACAGCTGAGTGCAAAGAGCCACCACTCACCCCTTCAGCCCAGCAGATGATGGCCCTGGCATGGTGGGCCCTGGAGATCAGGGTGAAAGAGAGACAGCTCCTGTTGAACCAGCAGGGTCCCTGTTACCAAGGCTTGTTCACACAGGTGTGTGGGATGACATATGTGAGGTCTCCACACCTTCGCCAAAAAGCTGCCTCAGGAAATCCAAAGGAAACGTATTTCTGACACCAAGCACACAAACTCGCTAGGTGCTCAATAAATGTTTCTAAAATACGTTAAATGAATTCATATAAATTAAAGTCAACTTTTCCAGGGACATGTCTATACTAAATCTAAAAGTGGAAAGAAATTCTATGCTGCCCAATAGAGTAGCCACTAGCAACACGTAGCTATTTAAATTTAAATTAATTAAAATTAAATAAAATTGGCTGGGTGTGGTGGCTCACGCCTGTAATTCCAGCACTTTGGGAGGCCAAGATGGGCCGATCGCCTGAGGTTAGGAGTTCAAGACCAGCCTGGATAACACGGTGAAAGCCCGTCTCTACTAAAACTACAAAAAAATTAGCCGGGTGTGGTGGCAGGCGCCTGTAATCCCAGCTACTGGGGAGGCTGAGGCAGGAGAATCACTTCAACTCGGGAGGCAGAGGTTGCAGTGAGCCGAGACCATACCATTGCACTCCAGCCTGGGCAACAAGAGTGAGACTTCATCTCAAAACAAAACAAAACAAAACAAAAACAAAAATTTAAAAAAATTAATTTAAAATTCAGCACCTCAGGTGCACCTGCCACATTTTGGGTGCTCAAAAGCCCCATCCGGCTAATGGCTATCATATTGGATAGTGCAGATTATAGAACATTTCCATCTTTACAGAAAATTCCATTTGATAGCACAGATTTAGATAGAATGAATTTGAAAAGCAGTAGTCAACTATGGTAGGCATTTTGTGTACATAGAAAAACCTTCCCAGGACTTTCTGCAATCACAGTACCTTTTGGTAGAACAAGAATCGCATCAACTCTAAAAAGCAGAAGAAAATTAAACCCTTCTTATTTCAGTATTCTACTAAAGGGAAAAATCAAGCAACTCTAAACTTCTCATTTTAAGGCTATTGTGATTACTCTAGCAAATAAAGATTAAAAGATATCAAATAATTAGTAAGAATTTAAAATTACCTCGGGAACATGGTAACATTGTTATTTGAAATATATAATTTAGCACTTAAAGCGTAAAATGTTGTGTGTCAGGACATGCGCTCTTTTTGTATAATCTATTTGGATTCGACATCCATTTTGTATGCATTTGGGAAATTTATCTGTAACTCCTTCAAGAAATACCAATCAGCCTAAACAGTTCTGACAGGCATGTGCAAAACCATGTTTATCTGCAAAACACATGTGGCTCCCCAACTTAAGCTTAAGGGCGACAAGTTCTAACATTTACATTATCATTACTGGATGAATTTTTGTATATTAGCTATCTCAATGTTTTCTTTAAAACTTAATGTGTTTATCCTTCTTAATCTTGGATACTTTACTTCAAAATTTTATTAACTATTATTAAATGAGTGAACCAGAAAATGTAGTCTCTGACTAAAATCCCAACATATTTTGTAATTATGTAGCCAGACCTAATTTTCACTCAAATATATTCAACCAAATAAACCAATTTAAATCAGTACTTAAAAAGAATAAGCAATGCTTTTTACCAACAAATCCCTAAATCCACAATAAACAACAGAGTGGAAATACTATAAGATTTAAAGAAGAAAGAAAAACAAAAAATGCCCAGGAGGCAAGAGAAGAGAAAATATTTATGAAGTTCTCAGCACATACATCAGATGTTGCTGTTTTACACAAACAAAATTGTTATTTCCTCCTCTATACAAGCACTCATCGAATATGTCAAAGCCAGATTGTTTTTGTAGTCTATGTTTTTGCTTTATCCTAAGGCATAAAAAGTAGACCTAACTAGTCTTTTTTTATATGAAAATTCAAAAGGTTGTTTTAAAAAATCATAAACGGCAATGGTTATTATTCTACCCTACACATTTGTATATTTGACATAATCATAAGATATCCATTCAAATATATAAAAGCTATGATACAATAATTTTAAAATAATATATTGAGAAGGTAAGTGCACCAACAACATTCATTGAACAAATGCTCACTGAAGTCCTATAATGTTGTAGGTACTGTGTTGGGAGATAAAAAAGTGGAGAAGACAGATACGGTAATTGTCTTCATGAAGCTTATATTCTCATGAGGAAGATATACAGTAAGTAGGACTGGTAGATTTGAAAGTAGAAATTGAGTTTGTAGAGCCAAGTCCACTCCTCTCTTCCTCCTCTTGACAGTGAGCCCACCCACAGAAAGCAAGTGCCCTCTTTCTCTCTCTGTCTCCGTGAGAGTGACTAGCACCTGTGGTGGTAGCCAACAGGGGTCTAGCACAGCTGGTGAGATCTGAGTAAGTCTGCCTTATTTCCAGGTGCAGTATTCAGAGGCCCACCTGCCTGCAGATATAAGTTACCTTCTCCAATATCAGCTTTATCCGAAATAAAGGTATTTTTGTCTGCCATCTTTCTTACTCCTTCATCTTCTCAATTGGTTGAGAATTCAGGCTGGGAGAACAAGTTAGTATTTATAATGCCTCCTAATACCTAAACTAAAAGCCATAAAAGCCTTGCTACTGTCATGTTGTTGACGTTTTATATTGCAGATTTATAATAAATTCACCTCTTCCTGAACTAACTTTACTGGATGCCAGTTCCTGAATCAAAATATTTATAGAGCACGTAATACAGTGCAAATCAGGGCTGGCTGACACAAGGACTCTCCACGTTTCATCCTGCAGAACAATATCATTGAGGTATACTGTGAACAGAATAGCCTAGGCAGGGCCTTTACCCCAGCAGGCCATAGGCAGATGGCTACAAAAATTAGAGGTTCTAGGTTTGAAGTCTAAAACCCCCATCTGGGAACTTGCTATAGTAATGGCAACAATGCGACATTGGCACAGGGATAGAAGAGACCCATTTGTATGCGAAATTAATATATGAGAGTAGCAATTTCAAATCAGTGGGGCAAGGATGTATTTCCCAGTGAACGATGTTGGAACAAATGACCATATGAAAAGACAGTAATCCCCTACTACATACAAAAACATGTTCCAAAGAGATGAAGGATTTAAATGCAAATAGTACACTTCTGAGATTTAAATCAAAGGAGACAAAAAAATACAAGATTTTCTGCACAATTCTATTCTCTGCAATATTTACTGTAATAGCAAAAGACAGGGACATTCTGGATGATAGGTTAATAAGTAACACAACTAAATTACAGTGTAGCCATATAAGAGAATACTATGCAATTGTTAAAAAGTGATATAGATCTTTATTTATTGACACGGAAAAAAATGAAATATTATTTAATTGAAAAAGCAGGTTACAGAACAGCAATTCTATTTAAAGGGGACAAATAAAACAATGTATTTAAATGGACTCATTTAAATAAAACTATCCAGTTGTGTTAGTATGGATGGCGGTGCCTGGATGAACACACATCACAGTGTGAACAGTGGTCATCTCCAGATAGTAGAATTTCAGATATGTTTCTTTCCATTTTTCTGATAGTTTGAATTTTCTGTAATAATTAATTGGCTTTTA